ATGGATGCATGCAATAAAAACGTGGACACTATTGGAAAGAGGACCACCTCGCAGAGCATATGGTATTCATCCATACTAGTCAAGATCAGAACATTTATTTGGAGGATGTGGCATGAAATACTCCCAGTGTTTGGGTAGTTACAAAGAAAGGGAATAATGGATCATGCAAGATGCCCAAGATGCGACGAAAAAGACAAAAGTGTAATGCATGCGATTAGAAACTGTGTAAAAGCAAAAGAGGTGTGGACACTAGTCTATCCAAGTGAAGATTAACAGAACGATCAAATACAAAGCGTTAAACAGTGGCTATCACGTATGGCTGGAAGATTGGACAAAGTGGGTTTTGACATGATTGCAACGATATGCTAGGTGATATGAGAAACCGGGAACACAGAAGTTAAGAGCAATGAAACAAAACCTGCGTCTGCCACAATCATATTTGTGCAACAGTATTTGAAGGAATACCATAAGATATATGAGCAAAAGGAGACACATCAAAAGCGTACTCTAGGAAGATGACAAGCACTGGCTGAGGCATTGATAAAAATCAACTTTGATGGGGCACTAGAAAGGAAGGAAGGCAGGGCTAGCATTGGTGACATTACTAGAAACCATCTAGGAGAAGTACAAGGAGCATTCTACCTAACTGTTACTGGCATAAAAGACCCAGACATTATTGAAGGAATGGCATTTGCAAGAGATGCTAAATTTACGAGGAACATGTACAGGTGGAGAGTGATACTGGAAGGAGATGCGTTGGAGTAACCTCACAGATCAACCTAGACAAGGTAACCGATCTCTCAAGAATTGGGAACCTCATGGAGGAAACTAGAATGGAATTGTCCAATTTTACAGAATGGATGGTGTCCCACACGTATCGTGAAGCGAATGGGGTGGCTTACAAGCTTGTAAAGCTAGCAGTGGCTGGGAGAGAAGAATTTTCCTATTTAGAAAGGGTTCCAGCAGAAATCTATTCTGAAATTCATGACATTGTATTCCAGGACCTTTGCCTTTAAGTAAATGATTTAAAAAAAAAAAAAAGTGTGGGCTTCATATAAAATTTTGATAGATTTCACATAATTTTGAATTGTAATTAATTAATTATATTATAATGGTTATATATGAAATACTTCCATCAATGTCTATTTGTGTTAATTCAAAAAAATTTTTCGTATTTGTGTTTTGTGTATATTATATATGTACATTTTCTTTTTATTTTGGGACAAAGTGTATAATTTTTATGTAGAAACTACACATTAAGCAAATCATTTAATTTAATCTAGTAAATATGACAATTCAAACATGAGATATAGTTGTTCAAGGCATTGTTTTACTATTTAATTAGATAAGGGTTTTTTTTTTTTATTAATGTTATGAATGGTTCTTGAATTATAGTTAAATATTGAACGTGACATTTGAATTAAAAATCTCTAATATGATATTTGGAGGGTTATGTAATGTGATATTTAAATTTTAAAAATTTTTAATATAATACTTGAAAAATTATTTTGTCTATCATGTGTTATCATTTAAAGTTAATCACGTTATGGGTGAACATTAAATTAGTTAATAGATACATAGTTTAAATGCCACATTACAAATTTTTTAAAATTCAAATATCATATTAAATATTTTCCCATAATTTAATAATCATTCTTAACATTAACCCTTTTTTTATACATAAGAAGCCGTAATTTAAAAAGGAGTTGCAAGTGCAAAATTTTAAATTTTAGACTTGTTAAATATTATTTTTGTAAAGATAACCATATAAATCAACTGAACTAAACTTCAAATTTAAATAAGATCATTTCTTAAAGGTGCTTAGTTAGTAATTAAAATAAAAAAATGTGAAAGTGATTTGGCCTTTCCAAAAGCTAGGGAAAGAAAATGCATTAAGCATTCAGATACAATATTGGGAAAAAAAAAAGCATTCAAATAAAAAACTTTTAATTTTCTTGAGAAATGAGGTACCAAATAATTATAATTAAACTCTAATTAAGGTTAATAGCATCTATAGTCTTTAAATTTTGACTCAAAATTTACTTTGATTCTTCAACTTAAAAAAATTTCAATCGAATTTTTAATTGCTCAAAGTTGTTCCATTTTAGTCCTTCCATCATGGAACCATTGAAATTGAAGGGAAATGCCAACTAGCATCATGTGATGACATCAATTAACATCGCACGTGATAAATAAGAGACTAAAATAGAATTATCTTAAATTTTAAGGATTAAAGGCTAAATTATTTTAAAATTTTATATATTTCGTACATGTCTTATAAAAATATTAAATTTAAAATTATATTTGCATATTTTTTGTTATAATATAACTTATTATATAGATTTTTATTTTAATAGAAAATAAATATTCAAAACCTAAAATTAAGTTAAAATTTTCAAATTCCTTTTCTAAAAATTTAATAAACTTTAAAAACAAAAAAATTTATTAAAAATTTATTTTATTTATAAGTCATAATAAAATATATTATTTTCTATCCAAAAAATTTATTTTTAAATTATATTATTTTCTATCCAAAAAATTTATTTTTTAAATAACAAACATCTTTTATTTTTCTTTTTTAAATATATTTTATAAATATGTTTTATAAAAAATAAAAATAAAAAAATGTTTTAAATTATATTTTTATTTTATTTGAATATAAATTTTTCTATTTTTGAATAGATGAATAAATCTATTTTTGAAAATGATTTGAAATTTTACATAACATTTTAACATGATATAGAGTTTTTATTTAATTTCTTAAACCAACATAAAAATTTTTATATTTAATTTTAACAAAATTATTTTAAAATTTTCAACTTAATTTTAATTTTTTCAAAATCTATTTTCTATTAAAAATATTATTTTATTGATAAATCATATCATAATAAAAATTAAAAAATATTTTAAATTATAATATTTTATAAAATATATTTGAAATATATAAAAATCAATTTTTTTCTTGAATTATTTTTATCTTTTTCTTTATTTATTTTTTATAAAATATATTTGAAAAAGGAAAATAAAAGATATTTAATATGTTAAAATATATTTTTATTATGATTTATGAGCAAAATAATATCTTTAATAAATTTTTTTTGTTTTTAAAATGATATTGAATTTTAAAAAAAATAGTGTGAATTTTTAACTTAATTTTAATTTTTTAAAAACTAATTTATATTAAAAACATAAAAATATAAAAATATAATTTTAAATTTAATATTTTATAAAATATATCTGAAATATATAAAACTTTGAGATAGTTTCATCTTTAGTTCCTAAACTTTGAAAGAATACTATTTTGATCTTTCATTTACCACATGAGATGTTAGTTAACATTACGTGATGTCATTTAGCATTTACAATCAATTTAGATGATTTCACAGACAAAATGATTAAAATAAAACAACTTTAAGTAATTAGAAATCTAATTAAAATTTTTTAAGATTTAGAAACCAAAGTAAAATTTGAATCAAACTTTAAATGAATGCTATTAACCATTATAATTATATTTCTTTGTCAATATGAGTTTAATCTTTGTAATAAGTTTTTCAAAAATAAATTTTAAATGCATTCAATCAATATAAAAATAAATATTTTAAAACCATAATTAAAAATTAAACCAAAACAAAATTTAATAATATCCTAACATATTATTAAAAAAAACTTAGAATTATAAGATCCATAGCTCAGTCAATTATTTACTTACAAAATGGCTTTCAAATATCTAGTCATTAATATGAAAGCAATTTATAATCTCAACAAAAAGAAAAATTTAATTTATTTTCCAATATTATATATATTGATTCATGTTTATTCTTTAATGCACTAAAGTGGAATTATAGATATTCTAATAAAGTTTATTATTGTATTAAAGTTGAAATATGAGATATTTTGAAGACCTTATTAAAACATCATATAAAAAATAATTTTTTACTTACTTTGAAAAACTAATAATAATTTAAAAATTGTACTCCACACTTAATATTAATATATTTTCTTTAATTATTATTAATTATATATCTTTTGAATTAAAAATGTTAAAAAGAATTCAAAATAAAAAAATTTTATCCAAACAAATAAATTTTGAAGCCCAGAACTAAATTTTCTTTTTGAAAGTCCAAAAGTCTACGCTTTGTACTCCAATAAATTTATTTTTGATTTGTTTTTCTTCTTTCTCTTACCACTGTTTTCATATGATTCTTATAAAAATTTCCTAATTTATTTAATTGATTTTAACAGAAATTTGTCATAACTTCCACTAGAATTTTTTGGCATTTGATGATCCTTAAAGAGCTTTTGGCTATTGTTGTAACTTGGCACTAAATTAGAATTCTAAAAGAAGCATGATGATTTGTGACTCTTGAAAGAAAAGTCAATTACAAGCAAACAACACATTAGCGTGATGATGAATCATTTCAAACTTATTAAAAATAAATAAAATAAAAAAAAAAAGTTGTGATCTCCAATTGACCTTCGTTTTTGTTGGGATTTTTATTCATTATATTTCACAATAATGAAAATAATGGAACGGTAACTTGAACATAAGCACCAAAAAGTCCAAACAAAGATGTCAAACTCTGACCGACTTTTGAGCTCACCAATGTCCTTGGCTTTGGATTAATCTCAAATGTTGGATTATAAAAGTCTTGATTATGATCTAATCATCCATAATTATAATTATAACTGGGCTTAAAGTTCTCTAATCAGCCTGCAAATTTCAACTTGGTTGGTAAGTGTATCCCTCACCTATTCCTTTTTTTTCTTTAACTCAGCAATTCAAAAAATTTTTTTTCTTTTGTTTTCTTATCCGTTGTTTCCAAAATGCGGAAGACTCCATTTCTATTTTTAAAAAAAATTATATGCCTTTGAATTTTATTAAAGATTTGGAAGTACAATAAAATAAAGAAAAAAAAACTAAAAATAGAAAAAAAAAAAATGACTTTTACATTTTTTTTTGTTATTTTGAAGTTTTTTGGGGGTTTTTTTGGAAGAAAATAATTCTAAAAAGAAGGTAAAAAAAAAAAACCTTCTGTTTCTCCCCTTTCCGATTTCCATCTACTAATCCAAGAGAAAAAAAAACAAAGAGAAAAATTTTCAGAGAGAGAAAGTGTTAGCAAGGAGAGAGCTTTGACTCTTCTTCCCTCTTTCTATCTCTTTTGTTTCCCTATTTCACATTTCACCTAAAATATAGAAAACCCTTTTCATTTTCCTTAAAGAAGTTTCATTTTCAAAACCTTTCTGGGTTCTCTTCAAATTCTTTTCTCAGTGCCCAAAATTGTTAGAAAAAAGGTGGGTTAGTTAAATTTCTTCCTTTCATTTTAAAACAAATTTATTGTTTCTGTTTAAGGTGGTCCATTTTTTAGGCAGATTTTCTGGGCTTTTTTTTTTCTTGCTGAAAGGGGTTGTTTCTAGTTTCTGGGTTTGTTTGTCTGTGAAATACCTTTCAAAGTTCAAATCTTCCAACTTTCTTGGAAGTTTCCTTTTTTATCTTTCCATTGTTTGGTTTCTTTAATTTGTATTTTTGCAGGAAAACTATTTTTTTCTTCAAGTTACTTGATGTTGTGGATCTAAGATTTTGATTTTGGCTTATTGATAGATGGTTACTCCTAAGTTTTTGATCTATTTCGCTTATGGGGCTTTTCTTGAAATTTCAGGAAATTTTGGAAAGTTGAGAGCTGTTGCTTGTTTTGGAGCTTTTTTTTATTCATGGGAAATTGCTGTGCTACCCCTGCTTCTCCAGTTGAGAATAATAAAAAGGGGAAAAACAAGAACAAAGCTAACCCATTTTCTGGAGATGATTATGCTGTCACCAATGGATCTGCCACTACGTTCAAGCTAAGGGTTTTGAAAGAACCCACTGGTCATGATATTTCAGCTCAATATGATCTAGGCCGTGAGTTGGGGCGTGGTGAATTCGGCGTAACATATTTGTGTACTGATGTGAACTCAGGTGAGAAATTTGCTTGTAAATCGATATCCAAGAAGAAACTTAGGACTGCAGTGGATATCGAGGATGTGAGGAGGGAGGTACAGATAATGAAGCATTTTCCTAAGCATCCTAATATTGTTACCTTGAAGGATACTTATGAGGATGATGATGCTGTGCACATTGTAATGGAATTGTGTGAGGGAGGAGAGTTATTTGATAGGATTGTTGCAAGGGGTCACTACACTGAACGAGCAGCTGCAGGGGTCATGAGGACGATTGTCGAAGTTGTTCAGGTTGTATTCTGACTGATCTTTCTGTTGTTGAATTGATATAGTCATGCATTTCTTGTTAATATAAAGTGAACTCTTTACTTGTTTGGAATTAAACTTTTGTTTTTCTCTTCACATTTCACTGTCTATCTACCTGTATGCAATTGCTTTCTCTTTTCTCTACCTGGATGATAGTGCTTTTATTTCAGATGAAGATAACTAACCTGGTCTGCTGTAAGCAATTTATGTTGCAGATGTGTCATAAACATGGCGTCATGCATCGCGATCTCAAACCCGAGAATTTTCTATTTGCAAATAAGAAGGAAACTGCCCCATTGAAGGCAATTGATTTTGGGTTGTCGGTCTTCTTTAAACGTGGTATTGCATATTTTGAGCTTTTTTCCCCTTTTCCACCTTTGATGGAAAAAATTGTACTGCTTTAGTTATCTCCTTTTTTATACCATGCTCAAGCAGCTCAAGTTTGGCTCAAGAATGCTCTTTTTAACAGGTGAGCGATTCAATGAGATTGTGGGAAGTCCATATTATATGGCTCCAGAGGTTCTTAAACGTAATTATGGCCCAGAGGTTGATGTTTGGAGTGCTGGAGTTATCCTCTATATTTTACTTTGTGGTGTCCCACCATTCTGGTCAGGTTGGTCTTTCAATTTTTGAGGACTTTTCCTTTGTTCATTTGACTTAATGAAGGTTAGAGCTAAAGGTAGCTGTAGAGGCAGTGTGTGCTTTCAGAGCTTGTGGGCAAAGATAAGAGAGATATAAAGAAAAAGATTTCTTTTAAAACTGTTTAATATTATGTAATCTAGAGTTTGATTTATTTGTTTAGTCTACATTTTCCCTATCTGCTCTTATGTTTTTAGAAAAATAGATGTTAATCATTTGTTGTGCTTTCATACAGAGACTGAGCAGGGGGTGGCACAGGCAATTATTCGCTCTGTAATTGACTTTAAGAGGGATCCATGGCCTAAGGTTTCTGACAATGCAAAGGACCTTGTAAAGAAAATGCTTAATCCTGATCCAGAGCAGCGTCTTACTGCTCAGGAAGTGCTTGGTAACCTTATGTTCATCTATTGTATGTGCTTTATTTATGTCGATATGCATTTCCGTTATATAAAAAAAGTCATCTGAAATATCATATCCAGAACATCCGTGGTTACAAAATGCCAAGAAAGCTCCCAATGTTCCATTGGGTGAGACTGTGAAAGCTAGGCTCAAACAATTTTCTGTAATGAACAAGCTGAAGAAGAGAGCTCTAAGGGTAATAATTCAAATATCTCCGCTTATAGTTTATCTACTTTTCGGTCACATGATACAATTTTTCGAGGCTACCTAAGACCAGCTCATTATTGACTGTACGTACCTGAGTTTCTACTTTTAATGATCATACTTTGGAGTTTTCTTGATTTTCCAGGTGATTGCTGAGCATTTATCTGTGGAGGAAGTAGCTGGCATAAAAGAGGCATTTGAAATGATGGACACTGGAAAACGAGGCAAAATAAACCTTGAGGAGCTTAGGATTGGGTTGCAAAAGCTTGGCCAACAGATTCCTGATGCAGATTTGCAGATCCTAGTAGAAGCTGTAAGATTATCTGTGCCTGACCCCAAAATTTTATTTTTGATCCCTCCAGATCTAAAAACTAATGATATGACTAATGCAACTGATATATTTGAACTTTTATAAACATTTGATATCTGTAACTAATTTGAATTCACCGAGAAGGAAAACCAAAACCGAAAAGAAGAACATGGAATGGGGTGTTGCGGGAGCAGTGGCTAAGCTTCATTATTCTCTACCATTCTCCTACTTAGTTCTTTGCCTTTTGGGTGAAACTTGCATAAACTCTATTTTCTGCTCCTGCAGTCCTAAATCCTGAAGAGGGAGAAAGTCAGTTTTTTTAGAGTTTCTCCATATTATCTTCTCTATAACTAATGTTTCATATTTAGAATTTCCAGTTTCATCAATGTAATAGCTGCTAGCTGCCTTTCACAGGCTGATGTTGATGGTGATGGGACTCTGAATTATGGAGAGTTTGTAGCAGTTTCAGTTCACCTCCGGAAAATGGCCAATGATGAGCACTTACATAAAGCTTTTGCCTTCTTTGATCTAAATAAAAGTGGTTATTTAGAGATAGAAGATCTGCGAGATGCCTTAAATGATGAAGGTGACGCCAGTAGTGAAGAAGTTATTAATGCCATTATGCATGATGTCGACACTGACAAGGTGATTATTGCTGTATACATTTTCATGTTTAGTAATAGTGTATTCTATTTGAACTTATCAAAGCTTCATCTTGACCCTTTTTTTCCTCAAAATATGCATGCCAAGGCCTGATCTTATGGTTAGGCCATGAATTTTCTGTCAATATTCCTTCTGAAGTTGGTTTTTTTTTGCATGACTGAATAATATTTTGTTTAATATTGTTTGTTTCTTGTTTGTTTGTTCTTTGCATGTTCAGATAATTGTACTTCTACCTCTCATTAGAGTAAAAACCTAATTCTGTGATTATGGTAAGCGTACCTCTGTCATCTTATTAGTAGTGGAAACCTAAAACAACCACCCTATTTTTCATTCATTAGCAATCTGGAGAGTTTGATGCATTCATCTTACAAATGCCACTTCTCTTCGGCAGTTATACTAGTTTCTGTATATCACCTCATCCGTTGCCTTTCTGCTATGGTTTATTGAATTCTGATATAAACTGCTACTTATGTGCATCTCTTCACTTTATATATGCAAATCCTGTATGTCTTGTGTTTAGCACTTGCATACTAGTGTCGATGTGGTTCATCTTAAAACCATTGGGTCCGAAACATCACAAAGTTTTATCTGGCTGTTTGATTGGAAATTGAAGCTTTTACTTTTATGTTGCAGGATGGGCGTATAAGTTTTGAGGAGTTTGTTGCCATGATGAAGGCTGGTACGGATTGGAGAAAAGCATCCAGACAGTATTCACGGGAAAGATTCAACAGTCTAAGCTTGAAGTTGATGAGGGAGGGTTCATTGCAATTAGCCAATTGAGTACAAGTCAGAATGAAGAAGAATCAGAGAAAGGAAGTAATGTTACTATGGACCAAAAAAAAAAAAAGGAAAAAAAAATAGAATTTCCTTGATTTTTGTTTGTTGATAAAATTATTGTCAATTTCTTTTCACGTGGAACCGTTGAGATAGGTAGGGTTAGATTGATGTGTTGGTGTCTTTAAAGAGCTGTGGTTCAGAATTTGTTTGTGATGAGTTGCAGAAGAAGAGGAGGAAAAGGAAGTGTAGGGAAATTTGAAGTGATGGTTCAATTTGTGGTTGTAAATGTGTGAATTGGGCTTTACACAACAGTCTTTGTCGTTAGAAAAAAGTTTGTCTGGCATTCAATTTGTCTGTTCAATTGCTTTAATTAATATGTGTTGTCAAAAGATACAACCAACCACTTTGAGCTTATTTAGGTGAGTGCTTTCACATAAGCTTGTCCTGCTTTATTTTATCATCTAAATCATACTTTAAAATTTGGTAATGAGATATCCCTAGAAAGCTTTATGTCTTCTGAGCAGATTTTTATGTCCTCAATCACTAGCGTTAGCTGCCATAAAGTTCCCAACCAACCTCACCTGATGTGTTATTAGAAGAATGGAACCAACTACTGTAAAGTTAATTATGTATTAATTAAGATAAAATTATGTGATATAAGATATTTAGAAGAATTATTTAAAAAATATATTCATGAATATAAAAATTTGGATGAATTACATTAAATATTTTGGAAAGAAAAATATTTTCAAAAATTATCATAACCGTGAGATGAAGAACTTTATAATCAATAGTATTTCAAATGCTGAGAACTCCATAATCCTACAACACAAAATAAAGATTATTTAAATTTTATAGGAAATAGAGTTTATTTTGCTTTTAAACAAATTATAGAACATTGACTCAAAACAAAGGTTGCTAAGCAAATTAAAAGTAGACTAAGTGATAAACAATGCACAAAAATATTAGAAAATGAATGTGAATTTGGATGTAAATCTCAATCTAAAATATATTCTAAGCAATACAAAAAGAAAAAAAGATATAAATTGATCAAATGGAAGCCTAAAAAGCATAAATTTGATAAAAAGAAAAAATTTGTTAGAAGAAAAACTTCTAAAAAAAAATCTAAATGTAAATATTTCATTTGTGATGAAGAAGGTTATATTGCACCTTAATGTCCTAACAAAGAAAAAAGTGCTTAAAAAGTTATTAAAATTCTTGAAGAACAAGATTTAAAATTTTATTTTGGAAAAGAAGTTTTGAAGAAGAAATTATCTATGAATTAATTTCTGAAATAGATTTTGATTCTGATAATGATGAATATATTTTCATGCTTAATTCTAGTAATAATTCTATATCAGAAGCTAATAATCGACTTAGTTTTGAAACTAAAGATATATTTGTTGAAGAACAATAGATGATTAAATTAAGTGATGTCTTAGAATAAGATGTTACTATTTCATATAAATGGTTAAAAAAACTACAATCATTAAAGAAAGATGAAATATATAAACTATCCGTCTTTTCAAATTTCAAAGCATGGACACAAAGACATAGAAAAGTTTAGTGGCAATAACATAGTTACTAATTATAATCAAGGATCTGTATATATATTCCTTTATTCACTAAAGAAAAAAATCAGGAGGATTAAATAAAAATATCTTGAAGTTAGAAATACACATTTAGGAATAATTATGATAACTATAAAAGCATTATTTAAATTTGAAAATGATATACTAAAAATAGTAGTATTAGTAGATAAAAAATTTGAAAATCCTATTAAAGCACTAATAGGAGCAATACAATCAAATCTTGTATGAGGTGCTATTTGGTTTAAAGTAAAACCAAACTATTTTATTTCTATTAATGACCCATTAATAAAAGATTGCTTTAGACATAGAATAATGACAAAAAAGCCAAAAATTAGAAATGTGACTCATGATCTGTCTATTAACTGGACTGTTATTAATGAATTTACTAATCATACTTTTACATCTATTAAAGAAATAGATTTTCATATTATTGAGATATTTGAACTTAGACATTTTGATTTAGAAATCAAACCAAGATTAATGAATCTTATATATCTGTAAGTACCTATTGGATGGTTATTAGAATGTATTATAGAATCTGTTCCTTCTAATAGAAAAACGAAACCTATGAAATTTTTTGTATCAAGTAATAACCTGTATTTTAAAAATCATGAAGAAAGTAGTTCTAGTAACAATTTAGTTCTACCACTACCCTATTATATACCTTCATTCTCAAATAGATATAATGAAAATATTAAAAGTATTACTAGTAAACAATCATTTATTTCATATAGGCAATCTTTTCTTTCTCAACCTCAATCAATAAGTACAAAAAATATAAATATTTTTATTTTTTCAAGAGATAAAAGTAGTCAAAATCAAGATAATTTGGTTTACAACTCAGTAAACTCAGTTTTAAATTTAATTTCTTTTACAAATACTAGAAGAGATGATATTCAAAGTCTAGCTATAATTAACCAATATAAAATTGGTTATGATGAAGTAATTATACTTTGAAAAAATCAACCAAAAAAGTATTACAATTATGTTGAAGTAGAATTTAGACTTAAACAGTATAAATCATACTCTTTAAATGTTTTAATAGACATTGGAGCAACTATATGTAGTTGTAGAAGTAATGCTTTATCATTAGAAAAATGAAAGCTAATGAAACATCCTATAACAGCAATAGAAATTGAATGAAAATAAACTTTAATAGAATATAAAGCAAAAATTGTTTCAATTTATTTTATGAATAAAAAATTCGTAATTCCAAAAATTTTATGTTTTTCTTTTATACATGGTGACATGTTACTAAGAAAAAATTTTATATACAATTATTTACCTTTTTGTTTAAATCCCAATAATATTGTATTTACTATAGATAAAGAGTCTATAGAAATACCATTATTAAAAAAATCATAAACATATATGTGATTCTAATTTCCAACATAAAAATCGAGAAATTGGAAATTAAATCAATTAGTGAAACACACTGGTTATATAAAATCTTAAAAAAAACTTTAATGAAAAATCATTAAAATTATGGTTTAGAAGTCCTCGATTTTGTAGTTTAAAAATTCTCAATTCAAAGAAAATCATTAGAGTAAAACCAATGATCTATACCAAATAAGATATAGACGAATTTGATATACAAATCAATGAGCTTTTACAAAAATGACTTGTAGAACCCACTACTAGTCCATATTCAAGCCAACATTTATGGTAAGAAATCATGTCAAGCAAATAAGAGGTAAAGACTAAATAGTAATCAACTATAAAATGCTTAACTAAAACCTAGTAATTAATGGATATGTTTATCATAGAAAAGATGCATTAATAAATTTAGCAAAAAAATGGTAAATATTTTTATAAATTTGATTGTAAATCAAGATTTTGGCAAATAATGCTAAATGAAGAGTCAAAACCCCTTACAACTTTTGGTGCACCAAAAGGCCATTATTAATAGAAAGTCATGCCTTTTTAACTTTGCAATGCTTCACAAAATTTCCAAAGATGGATAAACACAATCTTTGGAAAATATAAAGATTTTTGTGTTGTATATATTGATGATATACTTATATTTTCTGAAACATTAATTGAGCATAGGAAACATCTAAATTTGATAGCTCAAAAATTTATAAAACATGGTATAATATTAAGCCCTAAAAAGATAGAGCTTGAAAAAAATAATATAGAATTTTTAGGCTTTCTTTAAAAGGTCTTATTTTACAAGATCATATTATAATAAAAATCAAAGAATTTCTAGAACAACTAAAAGATAAAAATTAATTGTAAAGTTTTCTAGGTCTTCTTAATTATAAGCGAATACATTTGTCATTGTTTATATATGAGACTAGGTAATATTAGGTATACTATATTTATGACAACTATTTATAAGATAGATATACATATCTGCCTTTTTAGGAGTTTGTCAAGCTGATGATAGACTGACTGTTTGCAATCTAACAGCAAATGTTAACCTTTTCATTTTCTTGTCTATAGCTAGTTTATCAACAGCAAATGTTAACTTTTTGTCTTCTTATCTATCTTGAATATTTGCCAAATTTATACTTTTTTCATCTTCTAGATTAAAAGAAGCTAGTGAAGCTATCTTTGATTTATTCCATTGTTTCTAACCTTTTTGAAACTGGAGTAATGAAGAAAGTGAATGATCTAGGTCTTTCATGCTAGATAATTTTTTTAAAATTCGATCGTTTTAAACTATAGTTTTGGATTATTTTCATCATAAAATTTTTTTCACAAATATTATTTTATCATCTGTTGTAACAGTAATATAAGGAACCTGTGAATTTGGAAAAATTTTATTTAATAATTTTTTTGCTTGTCTTATCATGGTAAGTCCAGTTTAAAAATCATATAAATTTGCTCTATTAAATTGTGAAAGAGTAAATTTTAAATTTTCTTTATTTTCATTTGGTGCCAATAATTTGGTCCACAAAGAACTATTTAGACTTCCCAAATCTGATAAGGTTGAAAAAATCTTTCTTTTTGAAAGAATCCCATTAAACTAGTTATTTTAATATATACATAAGAAAAATATTCATCATTTTTGACAAAATAAAAAAATTTTTATTTGATAAAGGCAAGAAAATGCCTTATCAAATGAAAAGATAAATTTTGGAAAGTAATTATAACTACAAAACTCATTTTGATACTAATTATATCATAAAGGTCATGATCTAATTGAAATTTAATTTTAGGAAATCCTCTTTAAATTCCATGATTTTTTAGATAAATGAAAAAGAAAATATTCTTGAAAATTTTCATGAAATAGATGATTTACTTCGTCTTTTGTTGAATATTTTAAAAAGTTTATTGGATAAGACTTTGTTAACTTTTTCATATAAAAGAATTTTTCGAATTTTTAAAAGAAAAAAAGAAATGATTTTTTCTTCTATAAGAAAATCATAAATATTTAAGAGATTGTTTGTCTCTTCAAGGGAGTATTCTTTTTTATCAAATTCAAAAATTTATGGTTTCTCCCAGTCTCTTAAAGTTAAGCTTTTTAAAACAAGATTTTAAAAAGTTTAGAATTTATTAACCTATTTGGTTAATCCTAAGCTTAGTCATATTTTTTTTTAAAAGCTGATTTACTACCTTGAAATTAGGCTTTTCAAACTTTATTTATGAGATTATACAACTCAATGGGTAATCTTAGGTTATAAAAATCTTTAATTTTTGAAAAATTTTGCTGTGGTTTCAACAAATTTCTATTTTCTTAAAAATTTTAGAGTATGACATTGAAGTCTATTGATTTGGATCTTGAGAAAATTGAAATAACCTATAGGGTTC